CTCTCTCTCTCTCTCTCTCTCTCTCTCTCTCTCTATAGTATCAAACAGTTCATGTTTTGATCCTCCATACAACCCCCAAATATTGACCACAGGTGATTGAGAAGTGATATAATATCCTCAATACAACCCATCCTCCATACAACCCCCAAATATTGATCACAGGTGATTGAGAAGTGATATAATATCCACTATACAACCCCCAAATATTGACCACAGGTGATTGTTTTGATCGTCCATACAACCCACACCCAACTATTGACCACAGGTGATTGAGAAGTGATATGATGCAATAGTTGTATTATATTATGATGATCCTCCATACAACCCCCAAATATTGACCACAGGTGATTGAGAAGTGATATGATGCAACCGTTGTATTATACTATAATGAAATGATGAACCGCAAATATTGACCACAGGCGATTGAGAAGTGATATGATGTAACCGTTGTATTATACTATGATGAAACGATGACCCCCAAATATTGACCACAAGTGATTGAGAAGTGATATGATGCAACTGTTGTATTATACTATGATGAGATGAGTTGGCACCCACTAGATCAAACTAAACCCAACAGCTGAAATTGGTACTTGAATATCCATTTGAATAATCATTTTTAATTTTAAATTTAAATTCAAATTCAAATTCAAATTCCATTGTCCCTCATTCCCTTTCTTCAATAGTCAAACCGAGTTGTCGCCCTCTTCAACATCTAAATCCCTAAACTCTCGCCCTCTCTCTATGAGGCAAAAACCCTAAAGCAATGATCTCCCACCAATCCAAGGCAAGATCGGAGAGAGAGCCTCATGCTCTCTCTCTTAATATGAGGCTCTCTCTCCTAATATGAGGCTCTCTCTCCAACTACACTCTCTCTCGCTGCATCCACCTATATCTCTGTGATGCAGAGCAAGATGCCTCTCACAGCATCCACCTATTTCTCTGTGATGCAAAGCGCAAAGATACAAGTAGTTGATTTCTGCGAACCACTATGAATATTATTGGATGAACCTACAAAATACCTCAAAATGGATCAATCAACTTGTAAAGATTGAAGAACCTTCGAAAACGTACGAATCAAAATAAGTTCAAACCCTCTCACCATCTCAATGTCAATTGAAGCAGCTAAAGCGTGATATCCAAATACCTGCACATGTAGAAGATTATGCGAATCATGGTGGCACTAAAAATTGGAAGGATATGAAATCCAAGTTAAATCAGGTATTGTATTTTTTGGATGCGAAATTTTTTGAGCTTCTTGATTTTAAAAAACATTGAATTTTTGGAAGAAAATCAGTCTGATAATTTAAAACTAGGTGTGTCTATTTCAGATTTTTTCTTCGTTTTTTGAGTTTGCATGATTTTTAGTTTCTTTTAGTTTTTGAAACTTGATTGATTTGAGTTATTGCCAGAATTTTTTAGAAGGGTGTCTTCTTTTGAAGAATGAATTTAATGGCATGCAACTATTAAGGGGTATCTGTTTTGTGTCAAGACTTAGAGATTTCCAGAAATTTGTACAATGTTCTTGGTGAGTTTAACCTAAAAATATTGTTGCAATAGAATTCAACTGTTATTTTTTAACGATTTTTCATAAATATCCTGAGAAATTGCTAGTTCTTGCCAAGTTTTATTTTGGATCCTTCAATGCATTTATTGGATATTTCTTAAAAAATTATTATGTATGTGAAACTTGATTGATTTGAGTTATTGCTAGAATTTTTTAGAAGTGTAATTTTGTACTGTTTATTGAATGTTTTTGGGGTGTCTTCTTTTGAAGAAGGAGTTTAATGGCATGCAACTATTAAGGGGTATCTATTTTTTGTCAAGGCTTAAATATTTCCAAGAACTTGTACAATGTTCTTGGTGAGTTTAACCTAAAAATATTGCTGCAATGGACTTCAACTGTTATTTTTTAGCAGTTTTTCATAAATACCCTAAGAAATTGGTAGTTCCTGCCAAGTTTTATTTTGGATCCTTCAATGCATTTATTGGATATTTGTAAAAACTTTGTCGATTTTCTTTTATGGTGTGTCCATGAAGTTTATTTGTTTTATTTTCTCCCATCATTGCGAAACTCCTAAATTTTTTAAGCTCCCTATTATTTTCATAGGAACTCTTTATTGGTAAGAGATTTCTTTCTAATTGTGGTGCATACAGTAGCATTTTATGAAGTTACATAGAGTTTAAGATCTCGCTAGAAAGATTGGTTCACCCAACATAAATACATTTCATTTAGATCGTGGTTCGTGGGTGAACTCCACAAGATTGTAGTATGCACACTATAAAAAGAGCTACAGTGTTTGTGGGGGTGAGCATATTGAACTTAGAATCAAACAACTTGAATTAGATATAACTGATCTTATTGCAGAGCAAGAGTCTGAAATGGCTTTGGGATTGAATTTCATCCTACACTTGTTTTAATATGAATACAAGAATAAAAATTAGACAATTAAGCTTGCTTGGCCAATTTCTTTGAATATAGTAATGTCATCACAATCGTTGCATCAGTTATTTTTCTCATAGTTGATGAGGAATGTCCATACTATGGTTCATGATCTTTTTCTACTGATATTTGTCGTTAAAACTGCTCGATCTTAAAATTTCAGATTTTGAAGCTTCAACAACCATTGAAGTGAAAAAAAAAAAAACAGACTGGTTCAAGCATGGAAGGTAGAAAAGAAACTCAAAGCGAAGAAAAGAGGCC